GGATGTGGAGCCGTAACCAATCCGAGCTCCAATAATTTTTCACGCGCTGATTTTGCAATATGGGGTCTGACATTGTCATGCAAAAACTAAATTCTATCCTGCTTCCCCTGAAGTTTTGTCGCAATCCAGTCTAATTGCTGGCAATAGAGATCAGCAGTGATAGTGCAATTAGTTGGAAGAAGTTCCCAATGAATAATCCCTTTTACTACCCACCAAACGCTCAGCATACTCTTCTTTTGGTTAAGGTCATCTTTGGGTGTTGCTACACCTTTTTGTCTAGCTCCTAGCCACTGCCGCCTGCGGGTGTGGTTAACATACAACACCCACTTTTCATCGCCGGTAATAAGATTGTGAAGCCACTGGTAGTTGCGATGAGACGTCATTAATTACATACAAGCATCAACTCTGTGTTGGAGCTGATGTGATGACAAGTCATGTGGTATCCAAACTCCATATTTCCACGTTTTGCCTAATTCGTGTAGATGTGTCTCCACTGTAATATGAGAGCACCCAAGACGCTCTGCTAAACACCGTGTAGTCAATCTAGGATCTTCTTCAATAAGCTCCTTTAAGAGATCCATATCCACCTCTAGTGGTCTTCCAGTATGAGGTAAATCATCGAGTTCGAAGTTACTGTTCTTGAACTGATTGAACCAACGTTGCGCTGTACGAATGGAGAGCGCATCCTTGTCCATCGTATAACATATGTTGCTTGTTGCTTCTGTTGTTTTGTGATCCAGACGGAACTCATGAAGCAGAAGCACTCGGAGCTCTCTACAAGATATCTTCATTTCTAATTCGAGATCAGCATGTATACCCATAGTTTTATTGTTGTTCGAAAGATATTTACACTCCCTTTATATACCCTTAGTATGGAAACTTCTGGAACTTTCTTGACTGTTCTAGGAAGTTACGAAAAAAAACGACAAAAATTTCTTACCAAATCAGTAATTAGATTTTTTTCATACTACAACCAGTTGAACGAAAATTTGTTTTCTTTTGATACTTTTTCACAAAAATTATCATATTTTGAACCGCAGTTTCGCACAACTTCGAAAAACTCTGAGATTTATTGAGAAACAAAGCCTTTTGGGATAGGATTTATTTTATTTTACAGAGTAATTGCATGTCTGTTATATCCTGATACAAGATGTTAAATAGCACTGTTTCTTTCAATGCGTCATGTCAAAGAGGAGAATGTATCTCCATGTCGTCCGTTGAATTTCAATAAAGTTCTTCTTCGTATTGTAAGACCAGGTACGGACGAAACCTTTTGCATACCATGAGAAAGAGCGCACTTGACAGCTTCAGAAAAATTCATTGTAATGTGTTTTGACATATTTGTAAGCGTTCAAAATTATCATTTAGATGTGCTGAAAAGTACTTTGGAAAGTTGAAGACTTTCGATTTTCGTAATCTCTTTTGTGTAGCTTTCCAATTGTCTATTTTGGAATAAAATCATCAACATATTTTTTGTAGAAAATTTCAAGGTGTATCCTTTGGAAAAACTATCAGTTCTAACCACTGAAAATACGAAGAGGCTAATTCATTATGGGACACCCGATATTCTCATCTATGTTTAATAGTTTGCCTCTTTTATACAGGTCATCGGTCGTTCTTGTTGCTATTAATAAATCCCGCCGATCAGTTCAGCTATCTTCCTTAATGACTTCTCTTCCAGCTGGTCTTCATCAAAATCGTCTTGATGATACGCCCCATTCACGTAATTGGATCGATATTAGTTCAACTGGTTCCATTACCTATAGTCTCTTTCTTGATGATCAATCATCTGCTGTTTGGTCCTACAATGGTGTTCAACTGTCTCCTCGACCTATGCTCGGTAGTGTTGCGCCAGCTCAAGTTCGATCTGGCAATCAAATTGCTCTTGATGGTTCTAATTTTGGTACAGTAAAACGAGATGGCCAAGTTCATTTCGGCGATAGACCTGCTTCCATTATCAGTTGGTCGAATACTCGTATTGTAGCCACTGTTCCATCTGCTGCTTCACCCGGTATTACTGACATTACTGTTCGTACATCTTATTCTACCTCTAATCCGTACTCAATTCGTATTCTATCAGGTATTCAGATACCTGTTACATTCACGTACAACAATATATTCATTAATAATCAGTATACTGGAAATATCTATCTAACAGGCAATGTATTTGAATTAGGCCAATGGTCAACAGATCCTAAAATAGCTCAAGGACCTATGTATCCTAGCAATATTAATGGTACTAATTCAATGAAATGGTTCTTTACAGTGAGCTTGCCCGGTTGTCAAACAATAGAATTTCGCTATTTTATTATAAATAATCAAACGAACAATGTTGAATGGGAACCAATCAATATACATCATCAATACATGGTACCATGCGCTGGTCTCGGCCAAGTCAACGTTCAAGTTAATCAATGAAACTGGAGACATGCTCTAGATAGTTTTAAACTTTTTGTTTATTTCGTTTGACTTTCTAAAAACAAGAAAAAAGCCAAGAACAGACACAAAAACGAGAAAATAGAGATTGATGATATACTGGAAGGGTGTGGGGTGGGATGGGATGTGAGTGTGGAAGTGGATGTGGGGTGTGGGTGTTGAAGTGTATTCTGATCCATACCCACATTCACATCCTTAGAGGTTAGTCGACCTATCTCCACAGGGTAAGTCGAGTCATCTAACTGATCTAGTTTTTTTATTTCATTCACAATAATAAACTACAATCAGAGGATGGATCGACTTATCTTCATAGGATAAGTCGAGTCATTTTTTAAATACGAATTTGTTTTAATTATTGGTTTTTGTGAAAACATCCGTGAAGATACTGATTCAGTGTTGAGCTACTTATTGCATATTATTTTTCATTGAGCCGATACTGTGTTATCATATTTAATGTTTTTTTTTCTATTTTTTGTTGTTAAATAAAGAAAAAACAGGACATCAGTGACATGATACTGTTTTAGTTGATCAAAATCAATTTTTTCTAGTGTTATATAGAGTAACCGATTGGTTAGTATCGAGCAACTACTATTTATCAGATCTGAAATACTTATGCTGCTTGTACGAAATACTCAAACATTTTGTGCTGTCTAATATAATCTATGCACAATTATTAATTTTAGAATTTTTTTTTGCTTGAAAAATTGAATTTATACACAGGGCTTCTTACTAGAAATATGTATACAAACAAAAATTTAATTTTTGAAAAAAAATTGGTATGTGATGACAATAGTACACTTTTATGCAAAAATCCATTTTTTTGAACGATCAAACTTCAAAATCATGCTGATTCTTAATGTTCAGACCTCATAGTATTCAGCTATGCGTTTCTCTCAAATTTCGTTTTTTGACGAAATTTTACATTTTTTTGAGGGAAGGGGAGGAATTCCTTGATTAACTTTGACTCATACTTTCTAACTTCATCAGTTAAAATAAAAGATAATTAATAAAACTTGATACCTAGTAGAATCTTTTTCACTTTTATATTTCATACAATGAGTTCTATTGATAAGATAGTTTGTATAGTAATATTATTTAAAATAATAAACGATTTTCATATTTAACTTCATCTAAATAACTTCGATAACCTTACTTTATAGAAGTTGTAACTTCGATACGACATGTATATTATGCAAGCATTATTTAATGCGAAAGAATAATAATAAACTTCAAACAGATACAGTTAACAATGAATATATTTATTCTGAACTATTAATCAAAGATGTATTAGATTCAAATTAGAACCATTTTTATTTTTCATTCATTATATCGCTATTTTATCCATAATCTTCATTTTGAATGAAAGTTTTCTTCATTGATTTTTTTTCATTGAATTTATGAACACATAAAAAATTACTTCATCATTTCTTTTACACTTGACATGTCACTTTGTTCGATATCAATAATAAACTAGATTAACAAATAACTTACATAAAACAACCAATAATGATAATGATAAAGAGGAAAAAAATTAGCGAATTTATTATAAAAGCTTGTTAGCGCAGCCCCATGGGAGTTGCAATGTGGACCTGACATGCTTTCTTTAGCTTCATTGAATTAATACAAAATATACAAAGCGTGAAAGCTCTAAAAGACAATAGTTCTTGTGGGTGGGAGTTCTATTTTGACTTGCCCACATGATGTGGGCTGCGGGTACGAGTAGGTGTGGGTGTGGGTATGTATTGTGAAACTAAACAATATTCACACCCACACCATCCACACCTAATGAGCACGTTTTAAGAAGGTTAAACCATCTTTTTGTATATAAGAAATTCGGAAGAAAATCTCAATTTTATGCTAAAAAAGCCAAAAATTGCAACTATCTTTACGATTTTCTCAAAATCAGTTTTTTAAACGAAAAATTCAAATTTTTCCCCTTTTCTTCTAGATGGTTCGATCGATTGGGCTCAAAGTTTTTTTATAAGTACTTCGATCAAATTGGGGTGTGTCTTTTATTTTTCTCTTGAAAATGTTGTGCCTATCAAGTTTGGCAGATTTTCCAAAATATAACTCTTCGAAAAAAAATCTTTTCTTTTTATGGCTTTTTGATAGTGCCTCCATTGTTTTGCTTCTCCTGAGCCTCAGGAATGATATTTTTCAAAAAGAAAAAAAGACACGCCCAGATTTGTTTCTAGTTGCCACAGAAAAAATTTTAGTCCTAAATAACGTAGTAAGGATGTTTGCAGGGGAAAACTTCAGATCATTTTTAACCCTTGACCTTCCAAAATCTCCCTGAAGGAAGCATTTGAGAATTTAGAGTCTACAGCAACTTTTATTCTACTCATCGAGATCTATCTACCCTGAAAGTTTCAAGAATTTTCGTCGAGTCGTTCTCGAGAAACCTCGGAAAGGGGGAGGGGCTCCCTAAAGTCACGGTAATAGAAGGTTTTAATGTTTATACATTAACGTGATCTTTTGTTTCAACATATGAATGTTTGTGATTTAAGATTAAGTATCGCTTCAGTTCTACTTTTATTTTGAAAAATATATAAAAGATTTAGTTCTAGGAATTTTCGGTTTTGTTCAAACCGATAACGAAATTTTCTATATTGCTGTTGTTATTTTAAATTACCACGATCATCAAGTACTATATTATAAATAAGCCACACCAATTTCAATAAAATGATCATATAATAAAGCATTAAATAGGTCGGATGTTGAGTTGAAACTCATTTTAGCCTGATAGTGAATAAATATTAATTTGTTTTATAAATGAATTTTTTTATTAAAATACGTAATTGTTTATGATACAAAAACAATTACTCGTTGAGTTTAATTTTTTTCTAGATATAATAAATTTAATTCAATTTATATATTTGAAGAAAATCTTCAATTAATACATAAACATTGAATCTTCCATTATCGTGACTTAAGGTATCCTTCATTAGTAATCTGAAAGTCCAAAGTCCTCTACCTTGATCATTACTTATGCAATTACACTTACTTATATGAAGAAGCCTCACGCTCAGTGAATACGTATGTTTATCTAAGGTAGTGAATGATATGAGTCACAAAAAGGAAGAACGGTTATGGGTCAATGAGCACAGAGAATCGATCGAATATTTCACAAAATATAAGCGTAACGAAAATAATTATGTTTTAGTTTTCTTCACAACAGGAAGCAGCACGTCATTCATCTAATATAAGACTCATTGACAACAATCACTTCAAAGACAGTAATGTAAGTTGCAACATAAAAACGATTCATCCCAAGTCGAAAAGTCCAAAATATTACTTGCAAGAATAGAGGAGCTAGTCATGTATCGTACTTAAGCATGTATCAAAATCGAAACCCGATCGAAAAGTTTGGATTTGAGGTAGAAGTTGATTTTGGTTGTGGGGTGAATGTGTGGTGTGGATGTGTAGTGTGGGTAGGTGTGGATTGAAAGAATAGACATATTCCCACGCTCCTGCAATCTTGTCAATGTATTTCATCATTAGTTATAGCTAGAGAAGTGAAACTTTCAGAAGTAAAAGACTGTAATTGGATACATATGTGATGAAAATTTCAGCTCTCCACATCAAACAAAAGTATGAAAAATATCACTAACAATTTATTCTCAGTTATTATGATATACTCTCTTTATATAGACTATTTGCATTTTTTTCTACATTTCTTTTTTTTTCTTGGAGATTATCTATATAAAAATGACAGCTCGTTTATAGATAAATCTTACTTTGTGGTTACCTTTCAATTCATTAGATGACTAAAAGACGATGGCATTATTATATCAGCTGATAATTTTCTCCTTACATATTATTTACTATGTTCAAACATTTCCATCATCGTTGACACTAGGATTTCTTGGTCCTACAAATTTACCGAATAGTAATACACAAGCTGGTGGACATCCGGCATTATTTGCATTTAAATTAGCCATTCGTGATATTAATAATCGCTCTGATCTCTTACCTCGAACAAACTTGAACTTTGTTAGCAATAACACAAACTCCGATATCGGTACTGGCATAATAGACGCATTCTGGCAATGTGTATACGGAAATGTCATTGGTATTGTCGGCGAATATGTTTCGGTCATATCACAGGTAAAAAGCTAATGCACATGACAAATAATATTTCTCCAATCTGACTATACTAATTTAGTCCATTCAATACGTGAGTCGTTATTACAAAGTTCCTCAGATTTCTTACGGCTCAACATCATCGGAATTCACAGAGTTCCATTCAATTCGTTATCCCTATTTTCTGCGCACAACACCTAATCAGAATTTAGAATCAGTACTGGTGGCACATTTGATAGCAAGCCAAGGTTGGAAAAATATCGCGTTAATCTATACAACTGATACGCAGATGTTTCATAGTGCTCAATTATTCATTGCATCGGCACAAAAACTAAACATAACAATTCTCTTATCGACGTCGTTTGCAACAGGTACCACTAATCTAACAGCACAAATGGAAACTATAAAACAATCTCAAGCACGAATTATTCTATTCATTGGAACAATAGCTGATCAACAAGTAGTGATATATAATAGTTTGATAGAAGGTCTCACTGGTCCTGGATATCAATGGATTGGTATACATGCAAGTATGTATAAAGCGTTATATCTGGATTCGATGGGCGGAATAGTTCAACCCTATTATAAATGGTCACAAGGATTCATTGGTTTACAAAACTTTGCCGATGTAAATTCAAATGTTTATAAGGAATATGCAAAACGATGGTCCACAGCACCCTATGATCCGGAAACATCGACCGTAGATCCAGATTCAATTTCTCCTATCGCTAATTTTGCCTATGATGCATGCTTTATGTTTGCCTATGCTTTGCATCACATGATTGAGGTGCTGCAATTGGATCCAATGAAAATGGAGAACCGCGAATTGTACCTTGAAACATTGAAAAAGGTCAGGTTTCTCGGCGTAAGTGGTTACGTGAGCGTTGATGAGAATGGAGATCGCCTAGCTCCGTTTGATATTGTCAATTTTCAACGTGATCAAATAGTTAGAATTGGTTCAATCACCTTTGACGGCCAAGTTAGCTATTTCCCACATATCAAAATCATGTATACGGGCGGTACTGAGACGAAACCACTAGATTTGCCAATTCGTCCTGTAGTCAAAATCTCTCGTTCGACTCTAATCAGCATGATTGCAGGAAGTATTGCTTGCACAATGCTATGTCTTATACTGATAACTTTCACATGCTATTTCATTAAACATCCTGTAATAAAAGCATCGAGTTCAACGTTTCTGATTCTGATGCTAATAGGTATCACAAGTCTGGCAATATCAGTTATTCCACGTACATTAGAAAATTATAGTCAATCGTCTCTAGTATGCATCAGTGAGCTTTGGTTAGCCAATATTGGATATATGTTGATCATTGGGACATTACTCGTAAGTTTCAATGGATTAATTTTATATTACTCTTTCGTTTTGAATTCTTTTAGAAAAAGAGAAAAAAAAGTCAGAAAAAGGTTAAAGGAAAAAATTCGAAAACACTAATTTTCTTTGGCGGAATTCGTTTTATCAAAAAACAGATGGATGATTTATTCTATAAAAACACGGATGGACAGTTCAATCGCTTTTGACTAGGGCTAGTATCCGATACGTTTAACGGAATCTAATAATCCTGAAAAATATAAATGTCTATATCCTACTGTGGTTCTAAAGGCAATAACCGGATTTACTTAAAACGCACTGCCAAGGGAGCTTTAATAGGATTTGCTTCTAGAGGACTAGCTTTTTGAAGTGGTTGCTTTAAGTGTAATTCTTTCTATGACAGGTACATTCGGAGGAGTTACTTTGTAGACTGAAGGAGTATGTTGATAATGTTATATCACTGGTTCCACTGTTACTTTAGAAATTTCATTCTTTTTATGCTGAATGAGGTTGTTGTCAACAAATTTGTGCTAATAATTCGTTTAATTTTCTAATTAGCTGAAAACATATCGTTTATCGAAAATATTTCACATGTCCGAAGTTACTGTGAAACATCATCTGAAGGATCACTATTTATTGATTATACTGTTTGGTTTAATTATACTTTCATCATCAATGTTAACAGGTCTGTGTCTTGGTGATCCTTTATATCTTCAACTGTCACCTTTCGATTCAATGAATGATTATCAGTATTGTACATCTAAATATCAATTGACCGTGTATAGTCCGCTCGTTTTATCGACACGTTTTGCTTTATTATTATTGACGACAATTTGTGCGTACAAAATTCGAAAAATTCCTGATTTGTTTAATGAAACGAGACAGCTAGTATTTACAGTTTATAATTTACTCTTTCTATCTATTACATTACCTACAATTGATCTTGCTATGGGTCGTGGAAAAAATTTGACGATGATTGCTTATGGTATATGTACATTCATTATTTGCATTCTCACCGCACTCATAATGTTCGTACCAAAACTAATATTGATAATTAACACGGATAAGCGCAAGAAATCTTCTAGTTCGACGTTTGTATTCGATGAAAATAATTCACCTCCACCATCTACTAACAGTGACTCTAGCACTGGATCTTCAAACAAAATACATCAGTATTGTGGAAACGCGATCACAATACGAAGGAAAGAACCATGTCAAAATTTGAATCACGATAATCTACGTCGTTCATATTCATTACCATCGACTTAGCTCGAAAAACTTATTCATGTTTACGAAATCATTTATAACACCGAAACCTGAAACTGAAAGAAACATTAATTCTTCTAACTAATATCGAAAGTAAATATAGCGAAGATAAAAATACCGAAAATATGAATGTCGAAAACAAGAATATCGAATGATAAGGGTGTCGGTGTAGGTGTCCATCTTCTCTCAATTAACACTCACCCACACCCTTACATCTATCGAATAAAAACACTTCGTATACCAAATCTATTTACAATAAATATAATTTTCTCATCATTTGATGTTGTTTCAAAATTTAATCGTCTTCAAACACTTGTTTCTAATAATATTGAACTAACATTTCTTACAAATATAAATTATTTACTCACTTTGCCTAACCTATCAAAAGATAGACAAAATATTGGTCCACAAAATGGTACATACACAAACTCTGTGCAATAATTCTTTTAATTTTTAAAGGAGTTTTGCAAACCGAGTCTATGCTCGTGGGTTGGAATCTGCTTGTAAAATTCTTATAAAAACCGAACGTATTATTGCACAGAACTTGGGTATGTCTCATTTTTCAAAGCAATGTTTTGTCTATCTTTTGATGGGTTAGGTCGCATGTTTCAATCTTTCATTTCAGAGCTGAAGGGGTTAATCTAAAAGTGTTCAAAATTAACAAAAAAAATTCGGTACATGCCTAGCCAGGATTATATTCGTTCATTATTATTAGTCCTTCAAATGTCCGAAATCAAGCTAATCTTTGCTATCAAATATTTCGTTTACCGGTACTAAGATATTGCAAAGCGTCATTTGGAGAAAGTAATATACCTATACTATTACCATTTGTTGCTACATGGGGCATAAGAACAGTTTTTTTTACCCGGCTCTTATAAAAGCCGCAGTTTGAGTTTAAGTATTTTGTTATAATGCTTAGGCATATTTAAGATTCTGTGCAAAGTTCTAGACTTCTAAGTCTTGAACTTCGTTGTGGTTTGTCATTACTTTTATAGTAGGCACACACATCCTGCTAACGGATGACTCATTATAAATAGGAGAACTTTGTGCTTCATTTTTTTTATTCCTAAATACGTTTTATTAAAAAATCAAAATATACCAGACGATACAACGTGAAAAGCTCTACAAATTACAAAAGATAGTTTATTTTACAATAGCCTTTATTTATTTTGAAAACCAACAAAATTCTGAATGATCAAAATTCGACGTTGCAAAAAAGTATTTTTTTTTCGTAAGAACGATACAAAAGTATTGAGTGCGTGAAACTATCTGATTTATTCTGATCATTCGTCATCATTTCGTTTGGTTACTCCTCTACGGTTTTTTGAAACATTTATTGCTGATACTATCATCTATATAATTGATCATTTCTCATCGGGCGTTTGATAATTAAATCATTTTATCTTTAATTTCGATCCGATTAATTTGAACTTTGAGCAGAGATTGATTCTTACAGTAATCTTTTGACTGATCGACATTACTTTGATATACATCTACACTATTGCAATAGAACTCAAGTTTAAGACGATTCTATTCTTATAAAAAAATCGATTTCGATTAACTGATCACTATTCTATAAGTTTTACTGTTGAATGAAATTTGTTTCAGAACGCATTAAATCATCCGAAGAAAACGATCTTTTAGTATCAACGCAAAAGCAGAAAATCTGCTTTGATTTTATTTATTTAAGTTAAAGTGAATTACAATTTTTTTCGTATTTCTTCAACTAGGTTTTGATATTCTATAATGCGTGAATGATTATCAGCTAATTTTTCTTGAATAATTTCAACAGCTAGTTTAGCATGTTGCAATGCTGTGCTGTACTCTTGAATAGAGTTATAAACTTTAGCTATATTATTATGTGTCATTGCGATATCGGGATGGTTTTCAGGAAGTATTTCACTGAAGATGTCAAGTGCTTGCCTGTGGTATGAAATTGCTTTTGGAAATTCTTCCATCTTGGCATATACGATACCGATATTATCATAGCTTATGGCTATATGTGGATGATTTGAAGGGAGAGATTTAAGTAAAACTTCAAGTGATTTATCATGAAATGAAAGTGCTTGTGAATATTGCTTCATTTGCGAATATCCTTCAGCAATATTGTTATAGCTCTCAGCCAGATCGGGATGATTTGAAGGAAGAGATTTTTGCCGAATTTCAAGCGCTTTTTCATAAGATAAAATGGCTTCTGGATATTGCTTCGTGTAATGATAAACCTCACCGATATTATTATAACTTTCAGCCAAGTCAAGATGATGTGGAACGAGAGATTTTAGTCGGATTTCAAGCGCTTTTTCATGACATGAAAGCGCCTTTGTGTACTCTCCCATGCTACTGTACATTAAACCAATACTGTTGTAGCTAGTGCCCCAATCAGGATGATTCAAAGGAATATATTCTTTCCTCAATGTGAGTGACTTTTCATGGTACTGTATTGCATCGTCATATTCTGCTTTGCTGACTTTAATCGAGCCAAGTTGATTATAAAGAAATGAAAGTTCTTTGTAATTATCAATCGTTGTCGCGTTGAGTAGCATTCGATAAACTTCTTCAGCTTTGTCAAAATTTCCGGTTCTAATCAGTAATTTACCGAGTCGATGCCATCCTGTAGATCCAGCCACTTCCTCTCGCATACGTTTAGTAAGAATACTAAGTTGTGGATCGGTTTCTGCCGTCAATGTCAGTTCTACCTGCCATAGGCGATTTTCTAGTTGTTTAAATGCACCAATTCGAAAAACTGAGTGCATGGAGAATAGAATTTCTTCTTCGTTTCCCTGATAATAACTTACATTATCTATTTGGGCAAAAGGTGTCGATGGAGTCCATGGATTAACTGTAATTTGGAAGAGAACTCCAGTTAATTCTGGTCTATTGATGTTCGTAGCAGTGACGAATTTTAATGAAACTTCTTTATTTCTGCTCGTAGATAAGAAATTATTGAACGATATTAGACCTCCTTTTGTTTCCATCATTTTGTCGAAATCACTCTTAGTCATACCTTGTCCTCGATATAGAATAAAGGGGTTTTGTTGTCCTTGAAATTGTTTCAAATGAAGTTCTTCAATATGTTTATGAATATCGCAAATGAAAAATCCCATTTTGACGATAACATTCGTTTCTAGTGTGCGTAGAGCACGATTGAGCATTTGATACGTAAAACCCTCAAGAGTATACCACCAAATAGGAGTATATTGAATATATTCTCGTTCAAACTGCTCGATAATTTTTAATTGTGAATCATCGCCTTTGTACTTTTCTCGACAGTAATCAGTCAAGTCTTTGATTGATTGGTCGCTATAGTCGAGTTCTAGTAAAATTTCTTTGAGTAATGTGGAATACATAAACGATGGTTCGAGTTGATTCAAATCTTGATAAGTGGATGTATCATTCATCGATACAAAACTCATTGACATCAAGTCTTCTTGATTACATTGATTAATGTATTGTTTGAGAGAATCGCAAATCTGGTGTATATCTGTGTAAATACCAATAACTTTCGACCATTCTTTGGTCCATGAATCCTGATTCAATGTATTCAGACAGAAAATATAGATGTGTTGAATACACGACATGTTATGAATTTTCGGTACGAAACTTTGTCTGAGAGATGCTGAAACAATTATGAATACTTTTACATCTTTGATATCAGTAAGAAACTTAAAGCATTCATCGAAATCAGTAAACGTATGGACATTGTTAATTAACTGTCGTAGTTCATCAATTGAATTACGATAAATTATGCTTGAATCATTGATGTCTGAGTCGATCCATATAAGAAGAAAATTCTGAAGGCTAGAGTCTTGTATAGGATTACGTGACACCTGTATGAGAGTGTGATTATCTATAGCTAAAATAAAAATTGAGTAGATTAAGTAGATACTAACTTGATTCATGTAATAAGCGTCGCAAAAGTCCTTGGAAAAATGTCAAACTCTGTTAGGCCATATTATCAACATCCGAACCAACCAAATTTTTTTTTAGAAAGAGCGATGTCTGAACTACAAATTTTGTAGCAGGCATATTTTTCTAGAACGAATATGAGACGGAGGAAAAGCCAAAAACCAAACAAGGGGTAAAAATATTCTTGCAACGCTTTTTCAACTTGAAAAGTCTGTATTTCTTAATTATCTTAAGCTACATGGATCAATTTTGGAATAAAAATACACCAAAATGTAGAGCATCAAAAACTCTATCGATAATCAGTTTTGAAAATTTTTTTGGATTCATCCTTGACTCTTTAATTACAAAAGTTTGGAACACCAAGTTTTTGCAAAATTGAGCCTTTTGTAAGAACCATCAGTCTACAAAATTATTAGCCATCATCTTCAGAAATCGTGCATGAACTGAATTATTTTCGCATTATTTGGTCGAAATATATCTAATCGTCGAATTTTAGTGGAAAAAATATATTCAAAAAATACTTTTTATCGTTGTAAAATGACCAAGTAGTGGGAGCGACCAAATTACTAAGTCCCCCCTAGAAAAAGCTATTTCTTGGTATAAAAACTAGGAATAAATTTACCTTCCAATACACCATTAGAAAGAGCAGTCTTTGTACTACCAAAGAATTGTTATCGACCATGTTTTCTCATTCCTCTTCTAATATAAAAAAATAACAGAAAATAGAAAATGATGTTGCTCGATGGTGAAGTCGCAAGGACTTTTTTGCCCCATGTTTAGTTTTTGGCTTTTCCTCTGCCTCATATTCGTTCTGGAAAAATATGTCTGCTACAAAATTTGTGGATCAGATCTTGCTTTTTCTAACAAAAAAAATTGATTGGTTCGTATGTTGACAATATGGTCTAACAAGGTTTGACATTTTTCCAAAGACTTTTGCACGCTTATTAGTATGACTTTTAAAAGAATCGAGCGCTTTAAATGATGATTTAACTCAACACAATTTGCTTCAGACAGTCAGATTGTATCATATATAAGATGCAAGAATGTGAACTCAGAGTATATTAGAGTATTTATCAATTCTCAGTCGAACAAGATTTTGAAAAAACTTGTTTAAAAGCCCAAAAATGGCGACAAATGGGCGTGTTTGAATGACAATTGGGAACTATGATTGCGAGAGAAAAATGCTCAGTTTTCTTAAATTTTAGCTATTTCACATGCTTTTTGAGCGTTTAAACAAATTTTTCAAAAATTTTTTCTGGCCTAGTTGGTTCATGTTTTTTGGATTTGGAAAGTATATGGTTTCGTAGCATTTAGAAAACGATATTGACTAGAATACAAAAGAATGTGACGTAAATCGACCCTGATGAGAAAACCCACCATTAAAATAACTATAGTCATCGATCGAGACCGTGATTAAATCTTAGCTAATCCTAGGTCGAATGATCTAATCAAGGTCTGTAACTAGACGTATAAGCCGACGTCTCGATCGGCGGCGGTGACTTGCAAAATTTCACTTTTTTTAACCTGAAAAATGATAACAGAGAATATTTTGGTGAAAAAGATTAGAAGAAATCTGACAGCTGATTTTTAATATTGAAAATTTTTAAAAATCTAGTATTTATATTTATGACATAGCGACGGTGACTCAGGCGCTTGACTGACACATCTATATCTAAGCGAGTACTAGCTGCTACTGAACAGAGCAAAATAAAGATTTAGATCGGACTAAAATCGATAGAGAAAAATTTTCCATATTGAGCTAGAGTGGCAAAATTCGATTTCATTTACTGTGTCGTCTTAAAAATTCAACTTTTTTCAAGATTTTCTTTTTCTATGCTAAATCTAATAATTGCTTATATTAAAATATAGCAATTACTAAAAAGTTTACCTGTCAAATCTTGTTGATTGTTTTTAACTTCATTGAAGTTTACTGAAGTTGTCAACGATTTGTATGATGATGATAATGGTTTGTTTTTTGTTTTAACTTTAAAACAGTTCATGGATGGTTTCACTTTTTCTTTGCTCGAAGTATTATGCGTAGTTGATTTCCTGTTACCCATGTTTTAGTTATATCAGTAGTGGTGGAATACAAGTGTTATGATTCAAATGAAGGAGAAAAAATGTTCTCTTGCGATTTTAATGAATGCAAAATGCAATTTTTTTTCTCATTATGTATGATATTGTGTAGCCATGCGTATCTTTTTGCTTGTTGATATAATGAAATATGTTTGACGCATAAATTTCATATATGAAGGAAAAACATGCTTATTACATATGTAAACAGACCGATAGCAAAAACGCTTTGAAAGTATTTCAGATTGTTATTCCACTTTGTCGTCAATTGTTTAATAAAGGTAAAAAAATACGATGAATCGGCAAGACACTATTCTCAAAATACTTCTCCAGTTGAATATGCCCGAATTTTTGTTAAGCTTTATCCAGATGACTCTTCATTTTAATCATGAAATTTTTCTGTTTCATAGTATAGAACATAATGTAACTCTACTCAAAAAAATCCATGATTTGGAAGAATAAGTTTTCATCAACAGCTGTTCTTTATCTTACGGCTTATTTATTTTTAGCTTCAGTCAGATGTCTATTTGTCCCTCAATTTCGTTCATTTGACCATACAATGAGTATATGCGTACGGAAACTTACAGAAAGGTTTCCAAAAAAATGAATCCTACAAACTCTTAATGAATTCTTAGAACAGTGAAGCATACAATATAGAGTGCTGGATCCTAATTCGATCACAAATTTTAGTACTTTTTAAAAAAAAGTCATATCTTTACTCAAGAACTACCGTTTGAGTTCATTTTTAGTTCCCGAGATAAAGTGAATACCACTCTATATTTCTGTCGATTTTTTTTCGAAATTAATTAATTTTTAATGAGTAATTATGCTTACAAGAAATGCATAGTTGATAATGTTGGTTCGTCCTGTTTTCCTGATTTATCACTCCAGCTATTTACTTTTTGTCCTGATTCGATCATTACATGTATTTCGATTGCGCGCTCCGAAAAAGTATTTTATTTTGATAAAAAAAATTATATCAATCCATTCCTCAGCTGATAATTTATCTTTTCATATATTTTTTTATCAACTTTGGTCTTTATCTTCAACCTTTTATTTGCGTTGCTTTTCTGACCAAATCAGGGCACTCAGCCTAATTCGGTCACTACCGCTATTTGTTTGTCATAATTTGATCATTTAATAGAAAAATGTATGATAATTTCAGTACAGACAATTTTTCTAATAACGACGCGAAAATTTTGTCCTATCTTGTTTGGCTTCGTACTCAGCTGCTCCACATTCAATCAAAACCATTTTTATATTTTGAGAATCCTTTGATTTTTCTCTTTCCAACAATATGTAAATTCTTTTTTACTTACGTGTTACCATGGAGAAATTAGTGGTCTACGATAAAGAGGTCTCTCCGTCGTTATTAAGTGTCGAGGGTGTGGGTGTGGGTGGGTGTGGGTGTGGGTGGGTGTGGGTGTGGGTGGGTGTGGATGCGGGTGTGGGTGGGTGTAGATGCGGGTGTGGGTGTGGGTGTGGGTGCGGGTAGGTGGGTGTGAGTTGATCTTCTCTCAAGCCACACCCACACCCACACCCAAAATGATATAATTGAAGAAGCGTACAATAAAAAGCAGATAGAAGTA